GTTTGAAGATGTATGCTATCTATATGAGGTATGCTATCTTTTTATCACCCACCGTTACAAACAATTCAGTTAAAAGAAGGAAAGATTTATTTTGCTGACAATACAAGAGCCTGCAGTTTATGGAGTTTGTTTTTTTGTGCCAAAGAGAAGGCAAAGCTTCATAGTGGGGAGAATGTTTAAGTTAAAACAAAGCTGCTTTCTTCATGGTAGCTGAGAAGCAGAGAGAGAGCAAGAGACAAGGGACAAAGGACAATATATACTCTTCAAAGTCTCGCTTTTTTTGTGACCTTCTTAGGTAGGTCCACCTCTCTCGTAGTTTGTGCTACCTCTGTTGTCCATTTTACTATTGTGCTACCTGTGGATTTATGCATTGGTGAACTTTAAGCCCCGGGGCTCATTCCAATCTCAAACCTGCTGCACTGGAGAACAGTTGGGTCTTTGGGGGGGCATTGCAGATTCAAACCATAACAAAAATCTTTTATTTCACAATGAGATAAAATAGTGATTAAAGAATGTCAACAGATGTTACCATACAAGGCCATATAACTAAGAGTAAGATAGCATGGCAAAAGTCTTCCAGGTACGAATATCTGAACTCTAAAGGGCTGGCAAGAACTGGACCCTCAAATGTTGTGGTATATGGTTAAAAGAGGGGAGAAAGACAGCAAGTATAATTAAACAAAATCTAGTGTAAGCAGCACTTTTGAGGATTAAAAACAGTGAAGTCTTGAAATCTTCATTACTCTTCTATGCAATAAAAAGACACAATGACCAACACAGCTTATAAAGGAAAGTATTTGATGGGGCTCATGGTTGCAGAGCGTTACAGAACATGATCATCATGGTGAGAAGCATGGCACCAGCAAGCATGGAACTTGAGCAGTAGCTGAGAGTTACATCCTGATCCACAAGCACCAGAGAGAGAGAGAAAGAGAGGGAGAGAAAAATAGAGAGAGATACAAAGAAACATAAAGACAGAGACAGTCAGAGACAAAGAGAGACAGAAAAAGGGGGCTAGTGAGGGCTGGGGTACTTGAAATGGCATGGGCTTTTGAAACCTTAAAACCCGTCCCCAGTGATCTATCACCTCCAACCAGGTCATAACTCCTATTCTTCCCAAACAGTGCTACCAAACAGGGACCAGATATTAAAGATATTCTTATTCAAACCATAAGTAAGTTTATAACACTTCAAAATCTAGCAATGTGTTGATTTTTGCATAGTTTTAGCGAGCTGATATCAAGAATAAACCATTTTGCAGAAGCGTTAATAGCAGGTAAGTCAGATCCCTTTCCTAGTTTAAGACACCATGGTTAGAAAAGGAGAGGAAGTAGAGGAAACCGTACAAAGTTACCAGGCCTACACTAGGCCAGGTCTGCAACATTTCATCAGGGAGGGGCTACAGAGTTTCCACCCCTAACTGATGGATTAATGGCAATTAATGGTTGTTGCAAAAGGATGTCATTATGTTCAGTGATGCTGCCACAGAGAAACAGACTGTGCTCCAGTAAATAGGCTATCTGTTATCTTGCTAGAAGCTTTAATTAGACTCATTGAGTCACATGCAATAAAATACCTGAAAGTGGAGATGGTGGGAGACTTTTTAGAAGGAAAGGTTTTGCATGGAAGGTAATGGGGATGAAATAAAGCATTCTCACTCCTTTTCAGAATGATTGAAGTGTAGAAAATAGGAACAATCTTAATGTCATATCATGGAGGTAAGGTCACCATTGTTGGGTTAAGTGGTAGTGCTAAGGAAAGAGTAGCAGGGGCTCAATGCAGTTTATGTGGGCTAGGTAACTTAGAACTTCATGAGCAAAATCACCTGATGATGATGATGATTATGATGATGAAATGATGATTTTGAATACAAATAATGAAGTTCAGCTGACAATATATTTCTAGGAGCAAGTTGGAAGTTATTTATTCCTAGGTGTCCAATTTACTAGCCCTATGAGATATAAAACTATTTAGTCATTATCAGAAGCCAGCTCATTGAGAGGCATTATAACAAGGGGTTTATCGGTCCACGTATACCCAACAAACCAACATCTTCAAAAATTCTTTGAAATAGCCTGAAGGGAATCAATCACATTGTGGTTTCTATGGTATCATAGAGAAGAAAATGTGCCTGCTTAATTTAATAAAAAAGTCAATGATAATACTGAGTGAATATTCTTATAGATAGACAAGAATTAAAGCATTAAATTTGCTTGGAGTTGGTTTAGTCATTTCTGAGTCACCATAGTGCAGGCTAGCTTTAAATTAACACCAGTCATTTCATCTTAATCTCTAGAATGATGAGAACATAAGGGTGATCCTTGTTAGGTTAAGGATATAATATTTAAATTTTTTTCTTGTTATACTAGGAGCTGAAGCCTAGGCCCTGTGTATGCTTGGTAAGCTTTCTACTATGTAGCTAAATACCCATCCCTCAGATTTCAATTTAGCAAAATAAGATTGCAGAAAATTACAAAAGAATAGAAAAAGACAAAAAAAAAAAAAAGAAGAAGAAAGGGTTTTGTTGTAGAAGATAAATCACTGAAAATGTGTAGAAGTTCTTCATGGAGTCCTTTACTTCATGCAGTTGAAATCAAAGATACAAGCCACAAGTCAACAGAGGAAAATGAAATATAGTTTAAAGGATATTTAGGACATAGACAAATTTGCATGCCTAGATAGTTGGCCTAATTTTTTTTTTAGAAAATAATTGGAAATTTAATGAACTACCTTTCTTCAGATAACAGCACATCTCAAAATAGAACAAAGCTTGGATTTGACTCCTTTTCTAATTTACAAATTACAGCAGATATAAATTCATTCCATGCTTGCTTGCCTCTGAAGGAAGTGATCATTTTATATTTATAACAAAGAGAGTATTGGGTAAAGAGTAGATGAAAATTGTAAATGTAACAAAATCTAATTTTTGCTAATTAAGATATTTAGGAAATAAATTATTTTTTGATAAATAGATTTTATACGAATAATTTCTATGTGTCTGTTTGTGTCTGCACGTGCTTCTATGTGTGGTTTGTGTATACCACAACCAAGGTAACGTTTCTATCTGTGTTCTTGCTGACCAAAATAATGTCTTCATGATTTAAAAAAAGTACTTTTTGTCTGTTAAGCCATTGCACAATCCCCTATAGAGATGGTTTTTAAGCAGTTGTTGGTAGTAAGTTCCTTTTGGTCCATCTGACACCACCAGATTTTTACATATCTAGCACAAAGTTGATTGATCCTGGCAGATTATTTACTGGAAGACTAGACTGGAAGTATTAAAAGAGAAATATCAAATTAAGAATCAAGCCAAGTTTCAATGCACATTTATTTATGACAAAGTATTATTTTTTTCCTTTTCAGTGCTAAAATGATTCACATATCTTTGTTCAGTTCTTGGGTTATCTTGCTTCCTTTACTTCATTCAGTTTCAAATCAGAAAGAATGTGATTTAGAGCTGGAGTTCTGTATCAGTGCCAGAGTACTTGCTTAGCTTGCTTAGCATAAGCAAGGCTCTGGATTCAAATTCTGCCTTAGAAAGAAAGGAGGGGAAGAAGGAAGGAAGGAACAAAAGAAGGAAAGAAGGAAGGATGAAGAAAGAAAAGAAAGAAAGAAGGGAGGAAGGAAAATATTTTAAGTTAGTATGTTAATTATTTTGTTTCCTTTTCCGAAATCACTTCAATTCAGAAAATGCTTCAATGAAAAGATGGGTTTTTGTGTGACGTGTAATAAAAACTCTCCCATTTTGTGAGAGTTGGACTTTTTGAAAATAGAATAGAAATCAAAATCACCAAAAAACAAGAAAAATATTTTCACTATTAATAAAAAATGATTTGAGCTTAGTTAGCAACATAAATGAAGATTTAGGTAGTTTCTAATATAAAGGAATGAGAAATAATTTTCACAGTATATAATATAAAATAATAAGTAACTATGTGTGCTAATGTTGTTTACCTATCAGTAAAAAAAAAATCATGGCTATAAATAGACAATATTGTCCAATTATCAATAACTTTTTATTTTTTAAAATATTTTAAATTAAATTTTTATTTTTTATATTAATTATAGTTTATTTACTTTTTATCTCCCACAAGGAGAGCTCTTGTCTCCTCCAGGTCTTTCTATCTCCCCCTTCTTTCATAAGAGTCCCTGCACTCTGCCCAAGGTTTGGTTATGAGTCTCAGCATCTGCTTTGATAACCTGCTAGGTAGAGTCTTTCAGAAGCCCTCTGTGGTAGGCTCCCATCCTGTTTCCTGTTTTCTTCTGCTTCTGATGTCCATCCCGTTTATCTTTCTGAATGAAGATTGATCATCTTACCCAGGGTCCTCCTTGCTTAGTTTCTTTAGGAATACAGATTTTAATATGTTTATCCTATATTATATGTCTAATATCCACTTATAAGTGAGTATATGCCGTGTGTGTTTTTCTGAGCCTGGGATACCTCAATTGGGATGATCTTTTTAAGTATTTAAGACACCAACATGAAGCAAGGATTCAGTGAACTATATTTGTGGAAAATGAATGGAACATTAAACAGTGTGCAAATATATGCTGGGCATACCAAATTTTCCAAAATATTTAAAATTTTAAATATACTATCTTTAAATTCACCTTAAAATAAATTAAATGGCTAATAAAAATCTAATCATCAGGGGAATAGAGAGATAACTTTGAGGTTATGAACATTTATTGCTCTTCTTGAGAACTGAGGTTCAATTTCTAACATTTACATAACTTCTTGCTAATAAAAATATACTGTTTTCCCCAAAACAACCCTGAGTTTTCTAATTAATACTTAATTTAAACAGTGGCAGTTGCATTACAATTTTCTTTTAATTTTCAAAATACTTGTGACTGAAACTCAAACTAGAAAGATGCTTAATTTTTAATGGCAGCCATTATTTAGTAATGATGCATTAGTCAATATTTATTTTGTTACAAATAAATTCTTAGCATCATGTTAGCTACCTGTCCCAGTTTCAATTCTTTGAGTAACCAAGTTACACATTTCTTTCCAAGATGAGGAGGAAGATGCAGTTTCCAAGGCAACCACTGAAAATGAGAAGTTAGAGAGGAGTAAGGAGTACACATACCAGTGGCTTCATACACAAGCTGGCTTTTCTGAAACAACTAGTTCCAGAAACCAAAAATGGTGAGATCATTTTTTAAATTAGAGTTTTGTATTGTAAACATTTCTTGAAAAGTGAAATGTGGGTTAATTGTGCTAAAACAAACACAGCTTCATTGCCAAAAGTGAATACATCACATCACCAGGGGTTTTCATGCAGAGGAGATTTAATTGTTCTTTATAGTTTTCACCTAAACACCAAAAATGTTTAGGAGGAACATTGTTCTGTTATATTTTAAACTAATGCTTAAACCATGCAGTCTCTTCTCCTTCATAAAGAAAAAGTGTATACCTAGTAACTGTTGCTCTGTGAGTATGGATTTTTAAAAATTGGTTATTTGTAATTGACAGTTAAAATTCAAGTTTAACATTTTATGTTGATATATGTGTCTTAATCTTTCATATGAAAGCAAATTGAAAATAGAAAGACCTGGAGGGGATAGGAGCTCCACAAAGAGAGCAAAAGAACCAAAAAGACAGCGGTCTTTTCTGAGACTGATACTCCAACCAAGGACCTTGCATGGAGATAACATAGAACCCCTGTAGAGATGTAGCCCATGGCAGCTCAGTGACCATAGTAAGGTATGCCTAGTAAGGGGAACAGGGACTGTCTCTGACAGGAACTCAGTCCTTGGATCTTTGATCACCTCTCCTGAGGTGGGGAGCAACCTTACCAGGACACAGAGGAAGACAATGTAGCCAGTCCTGATGAGACCTGACAGTCTAGGGTCATAGGGAAGTGGAGGAGGACCTCCCCATCAGTGGATTTGGGGAGGGTCATGGGAGGAGATGAGTGAGGAAGGATGGGATTGGGAGAGAATGAGGGAAGGTGCTATAGCTGAAATACAAAGTGAATAAACTGTAATTTATTAAAAAGATATAAAATGGGAACATTTTGTTATTTGATATATTTATTATAAACAAAGAAAGAAATAAAGTCATCAATAGTTCACATTTAACTTGAAGTATTCTGACTAATGCAAACATAAATTAATGTCATGGTCAATTAATCAGGTTGACTGTATTCATAGTAATAGCTTCCTTAGAATTATAATAAATATAACAATCTATTATTTGTTTATATTAACTTGACATGAGAAATCTCATTCAGAAGTATTAATGCAGAAGTGATAAAGTAGAATTATAACCAATGTTTTTGAGGATAAACTTTAAATGTTAAACATTTAATATCACTTGCTAGTAAGTAAAATCTGTATCTAGTAAAATAAACAAAAAATTTCTCAGAATTTCTATTTTCTATTATTAAATATAAAAGACTTCTTTGTAGTATATTAAAAAAATCGCTTTTACAGGTAGAAAATTCCTGTGTCTGTGTGTGTGTGCATGTGTGCCATGGGGTGGGTGCATGTGTCTGTGTGTGTGCATGTGTGTCATGGGGTGGGTGCATGTGTCTGTGTGCAGATGCATATGTGTGTCATGGGGTGGGTGCATGTGTCTGTGTGTGTGTGTGCATGTGTGTCATGGGGTGGGCGCAGGTGTCTGTGTGCAGGTGCATATGTGTGTCATGGGGTGGGCGCATGTGTCTGTGTGTGTGTGTGTGCATGTGTGTCATGGGGTGGGTGCAGGTGTCTGTGTGCAGGTGCATATGTGTGTCTGTGTGCAGGTGCATATGTGTGTATATTATATTGGAATCAGAAATAAACTTTTAATGTCATTTCTTGGGAACCCTCCATCTTGTTTTTTTCTGTTAGTTCTTTAACAATTTTTTACAGTGTGTTTTGATCATAATGACTTCATTACCAAACTCTTCGCAGATCCAACGCCCCTTCACTACTCACACAATTCATGCCTTCAAAAAATTATTTATATATTTACTTATTATAATTTATTTACTTTGCATCCCTGCTGCATCCCCTCCCTCATCTCCTCCCAGTTCCGCTCACTCTTCCTCTTCTCCCCCTATGCTTTTTCCCAAGTCCTCTGACAGAGGATGTCCTCCTCCCCTTCTCTCTGACCCTAGCCTATCAGGTCTCTTCAGGACTGGTTGCATCATCTTCCTCTGTGGCCTGTCAAGGCTGCACCCCCCAGGGGGAGATGATCAAAGACCCTGCCACTGAGTTCATGTTAGAGACAGCCCCTGTACCTTACTAGTTCCTTACTAGGGAACCCACTTGGAAACTGAGCAGCCAATGGGCTTCCTTTGAACCAGAGGACTAGGTCCTCTCCATGCATGGTCCTTAGTTGGAGTATCATTCTCTGCAAGCCCCCCTGGAACCAGGTATTTTGGCATGTCTTTTTTTAACACCACAACATTTTTTTCAGACATGAAGTGTAATTATACTAGTGACCCAACAAAGCCTAGGGATCTGTTTATCACCCCCCCTGCCCAAACCCATTGGCATAGCTCTTTGATTCTAAGCACTCTAACCATGACTGTAGTTCTCAAGCTTGCACAGCAAGCTGTTTATATACTGACCCATCTCTACAGCTCCCAAACACAAAAACTATTTAAAGTAAAAATGTCAGTATTCTGATAAAATTAAATCACTGTAAATCTTAGTTGTATGCATTAAACACAGTAGAGCATTAAAGGCAGAAATCTTTGCCTGTTTCAAGTGAAAGTTACAATTGTAAAAACCAAGAGTTATGATGCATGCCTGTACTTGAACGTGGAGACAAATGGACAAAGAGCTCAGCCTTGTCGTTGAATACGTGGTGAGTTTGAGTCCATCCTGGGATGTAAGAGATGCTGTCTCAAAAGGCCAAAGCAAAAGGGAATAAATAATTAAATATAATTAAATATATTTATGTTTACTAACTATCACTGTCAGTACTGTCAGATTTTTGTTCTTTTACATTTATATTTTAAAAGAATGGTGGTATTGAAATATCATTTAGAAATTAATTTTTGTGAAATTTAATTTATAAATAACTTGCATCTATATAACATGTGCATTTTTATGTGTAAAATAGTTTAAAGCTGTGTTTTTTATCTCATTTGGGCATTTTAAGATGTTCTCTTCAATATTTATGCTGTAACTTGTCCTTTTTGTGTCACCATGTAGCAATCACTTCTTGCCTGAGTTAGATCCGGATGTGCTTAATGGTGGAAGAGTTCAACTTGTGGTAAGAAATATTTTTACAGTGTTTTCAAAGCAAAGACTCATGACCAAACATTTGGCAGAGTACAGGGAATCATAAGAAAGAAGGGGAGTTAGTCTGATGAGGAAAGGTTAGGAGCTCCACAAGAACCAAATATATCTGGGCACAGGGTCTTTTCTGAGACTGACATGCAACCAAGGACCATGTATGGATATAACCTAGAAACTCTGCTCAGATGTAGCCTGTGATAGCTCAGTAACCAATTGGTTTCCCATAGTGAGGGGAACAAAGACTATTTCTAACAAGAACTCAATGACTGGCTCTTTGGCCTCCCCACCCCCCAAGGGAGGAGCAGTCCTGTTAGGCCACAGAGGAGAGCTTTGCAGCCAGTCCTGAAGATACCTGATAAAACAGGATCAGATGAATGGGGAGGAGGTCCCCCCTATCATTGGACTTGGCAAGGGGCACGGTGGAGATGAGGGAGGGAGGGAGGGAGGGACTGGGAGGGAATGAGAGATCAGGACAGGGCTGGGATAAAGAGTTAATAAAATGTAACTGATAAGAAAAAAATAAAATTCAAAAAAAAAGTTACAGAAAAGTGAGAAATATCAGAGACACAAGCACTCAATAAAAATACTTTTCAATATGCTCATAATATCTTTAAACTTTGAAAATATCACAACTGTATCTACTTTGTGGTAACCTCAAATACCATGTGTTAAAATAATAACATATTTTCTTGACTTCCAGTATAATGTTACAAGATGACAGTGCTTAAAGTAATTTTATTTGACATATGTAAAAATATTAACATGTTACCATTTTTAAACAAATGGAAAATTGCTTAATGAGATTATTTTCTTAAAAATTCTAAGAGTTGAATTTGTAGATTATAGTTCCCAATTGGAAAATCAAACCATATTAAAAGCAACAAGTGATTATCAATATAACCTTTCTAAGTTTTATTGGGTGTAATACTTTGAAAAGTATTAACTGAGCTTTAAGGCAAGATTCTAAGCATGGCAACAAGAATATAGTCTTAAAAATGGAATGTATATGCCATTAAATCCACTGTCTGTAAGCTAATTGAAGAAAGGCTTTGTAAATAGATGACAGTGCCACCATGGAATCTAGAAAAGTGTATCTTGTAACATGGGAAAATTTTAGTGTCATCTCAGAAATTTTCAAAGAGGAAGTCATTATGACTTCTGAGTGTATGGTACTTCTGTGGTTGATGAAAGTGGGTGACACTTCCCATTTACAAAAACCAACAAATATTCCTTGCTAAGATTCTATATAGACCCAGCAAATAGATTACCATTTTGTTTTCCATGGATAATTTTATATCTAAAGATACTTTTCTTTATGATAAAAAATATTATTATGACTTTCAGAGCATTTACACACCATTTTCTTGAATAATTTTTACAGTCACTTTCCTAAATTTGATCAATAATTGCTGAATATATACATATGTGTGTGATATACATATAAAGAGAGAGGTTAAAAACCTATGTTTATATTCAAAATTATCATTTATTAAGTATTTTCCTGTATTTTAGTAAAATTCATCTGTGAGAGTGTCATACATATGACTCTAGGAATACTAGTCTGTCAGACTGCTACTATTATACATATTATTTAGTGGCCACTTTTGAGAAATGAGGGAAAAAGCATTAAAAGGCAGTAAATTATTAATAATGTTTATAAATATTATTAATTTTATTACACTTCAATAATATAGCATAAGACTTAATCAATGTCAATTTCTGCATGTCAAGGAGCTAGAAAATAATATATCTGTCTAAGCATGGCTAAAGCATGTTACATAACCAAAAGGAATAAGAAAATGTTATTTTATAATATTTCAAAATTTATTAGGAAATATGTCAACAATATAGAAAACTTTGCTGATATTCAAAATAAATTGATAAATGGATCAAATTATGGGATTTTCTAGAGAATAGATATGTTTCAGATTATTCCGGAAATAGATCCAGATTTTGAAATTTGGGACTATGGGATTTATTGAGTTCCCCATTCCTTATTAATATATCTATTGGGATTGCAATTGTTCAGGTAACCATATTGTTGAGGTATCATGTGCGGAAGTTCTCTGTTGCTTCTAGGATACATAAAAGTGCAGAGGACTCCTGATCTTTTGTGTTCTAATCTATGTATAACCACTTCCCCAACATCGCTGAGGTTTAGGTGTCAGGTTTTGCTGTAGATGCATCCACATTGGGGTGGAGAACACCAGAATCACTTAGTCCATGTGTTGTAATCAGTTGTGTTTTTCTGTAATGATCTGTTTGCTGCAAAGCGAAGTTGTTTGTTTTGTTTTGTTTCATCTTGATTTAAGGTAAGAGCTATTCTGATCTGTGGGTATAAGGCTAAGTTTGAGAACACAGTAAGGAATTATGTGGTCTGGTAAAGTACTGGTAGTGAGTTTGCCTCTACTATCCATGATCTTACTAGTATCTAGTAGCTGACTAGGAATCTGGTACCAGGCATGATTTCTATCCAGTTGAGTGCACATTGAATCTAATTAGATAGCTTTTGGTTACCACCAAGGTATGAATACCACTCTTGCACCTTTATGGATATCCATGCATGCTGGTCATTGTAGTTTATTCTTTTTATTATTTATTTTTAACTTTTTTGTTAATTACAGTTTATTCACTTTGTATCCAGCTATAGCCCCCTCCTGCATTCTCTCCCAATCCCACTATCCCTCCCTCACCTCTCATCTCTTCACATGCCTCTCCCCAAGTCTACTGATAGGGAGGTCCTCCTCCCCTTCCATCTGACCCTAGCCTATCAGGTCTTATCAGGACTGGCTGCATTGTCCTCCTCTGTGGCCTGGTAAGATTGCTACCCCTTCATTGGGAGGTGATCAAAGAGCCAGCCACTGAGTTCATATCAGAGACAGTCCCTGTTCCCCTTACTAGGGAACCCACTTGGACACTGAGATGCCATGGACTACATCTGTGCAGTGGTTCTAGGTTATCTCCATGCATGGTCCTTGGTTGGAGTATCAGTCTCAGAAAAGACCCCTGTGCCCAAATTTCTTGGTGAATTGCCCTCCCTGTGGATCTCCTGTCACCTCCTGTCAGGTCTTTCTATCTCCCCCTTCTTTCATAATATTCCCTGCAATTTGGAGAGGGAGTTGATGGAAAGATTACACAGCCAGCCTTGGAAAAAAGTGACACTTTCTTTTAAAATTAAACATAATGTAACAGATGAGCTAAACAGTACTTCTACTGAACATTTTTTTCTCAAAGAAATCAACATTCATTAAAACTAATAGTACTACGGGGTTGAATATGATCAAAATAGTTTCTATGAAATTCTCAAAGAATTTAAAAAATTATCTATTTTGAATACAGTACAATATTTTTATAGTAGTTTTGTTCATAATAGCTCCAAAACTTAACCAAGGTACACTCAGTGGGTGAAAATACAATAGTGGAATTCTGGTAAAATGACTGTACAACAAAATTATTGCATGTCAATAAGCAAGAAAATTATTAATGCAGAAAACATGATGATAAATAAGAAGAATTTGCCTCAGATCGTTATATACTATTCTGAAAACCACAGTGCTAACAGTAGATAACAAATGAGTAGTTGCTAGTTAATCTGAGGATGGGCTCTCTTTTAGAATAATGAAACAGGTTTCTGAGTTAGTTGTAATGGAAGTTATAATAATAATATGTAAATATAATGAAAAGCAATAGAACTACAATAAAAACAAGTTGTACAAGTGAAATCTGCCCAGGATATAATAGGGTCTGTAGTTTAGAATTTTTATCATGGAAATGTTTATAGTTTGTTCATAAAAGCCTCAAAGATAATCTAACCAAAGTCTACAAACAGAATAGAAATTGGTTAACTTCCTAGAGATTTTTCCAGTGAACTCCTCAATTTGTCCAGTAGCTGATGAAATGGAATAGCAAATTTACAAATACAGTGGTCACCAAGAATTATTTCTTTTAGCTACATAAGGGAGGGAAAGTAAATAATAATAATAATAATAATAGTAATAGTAATAATAATGGAGCTAACAATTGCTTTATGTCATGTTATTTTTTAAACTTCTTTTTATTTTTATTTTTATTAATTACAGTTTATTCACTTTGTATCCCCCCGTACCTTCCTCTCTCTTCCTCTTCCAGTACCACCCTCCCTCTTCCCCACCTGTGTCCCTCTCCCAGTCCACTGATAAGGGAGGTCCTCCTCTCCTTACCTCTGATCTTAGTCTATCTGGTCTCATCAGGGCTGGCTGCATTATCTTCTTCTGTGGCCTGGTAAGGTTGCTCCCTTCTCAGGGTGAGGTGATCAAAGAGCAGGCCAATCAGTTCCTGTTAGAGACAGTCCCTGTTCTCATTACTATGGAGCCCTCTTGGATACTGAACTGTATTAGGCTACCTCTGTGCAGGGGTTTCAGGCCATCTCCATGAGTGGTCCTTGGCTGGAGTATCAGTTTCAGAAAAGACAATTGTGCCTAGACATATTGGATCTGTTGCTTTCCTTATGGAGTTCCTGTCCTCTCCAGGTCTTACTATCTCCTACTTTTTTCATAAGATGTTAGAACTTTTACATTTCAAATGTCAATTTGTTGGCTTCATAAAAGCAGTGGCAATTGTATTTTGTTATATCAATATTACTGGGCAAGCTTGGCCTAGGAATGAAATGAAAGAGGGAATTGATCAAAAGAGAGGCAACAGAGTCCATGTCAGTGACAGCCCCCTTCCCCTTACTAGGGAACCCACATGATGACTAAGCTGCCCACTGGCTACATATGTATAGGCAGCCTAGGTCCAGTCCATGCATATTTCTTGGTTGGTGTTTAAGCCTCCATATGTTCCCCAGGTCCCAAGTTTGTTGAATCTGTTGGTCTTCTTGTGGAGTTCTAGAACCTACTGGGTCCTTCTATCCCCCTCACCCCTCACACACACTTTTCCACAAGGTTCCCTGTGCTTGGCCTAATGTTTAGCTGTGAGTCCCAGCATCTGTTCCAATCAGCTGCTGAGTGGAGCCTCCCGGAAAACAACTCTTCTAGGCTCCTGTCTGCAAGCATAACAGAGTATCATTAATAGTGTCAGGGGTTGGTTGTCTCCTGTGGGGTGGGTCTCAGGTTAGGCCAGGCATTGGTTAAACAGTTCCTCAGTCTCTGCTCCAACTTTGTCCCCGCACACTTTGCAGGCAGGGTAAATCTTGGGGCGAAGTTTTGGTGGTGAGTTGGTGTCCCCTCCCTCCACTGGAAGTCCTGTCTGTCTGGAAGGTGGCCTTCTCAGGCTCCATGACCCCCAAAACCAGGAGTCTTAACTAGAGTCACCCCCGTATTCACCCAGGAGCCTGCACTTGTTGTAGATCTCCAGCTTTTCTCAGCAATGCTCCTGCCCTTGCTTTCTCTTTTCTCTCCAAACCCTCTGACCGCCCACATCTGACCCCTACCCTCACTTCCCTCCGCACTCTCTCTCCTACCCATTCCCTCTTTCTCCGCTTCTCTTATCTATTCCATTTCCCCTTCAGATTTCATTGTTTAAAGAACAATTAGTTATCACTTTCTTTTTTTTCCTTTTTTAAATTTTTTTTTATTAATTACACTTTATTCATTTTGTATCCCCCCATAAGCCCCTCCCTCCTCCCCTCCCGGTCCCACCCTCCCCCCCTTTCTGCATGCATGCCCCTTCCCAAGTCCACTGATAGGGGAGGTCCTCCTCTCCTTCTTTCTGATCTTAGTCTATCAGTTCTCATCAGAAGTGGCTGCATTGTCAGGGTTCTAGGTTATCTCCACGGATAGTCCTTGGTTGGAGTATGAGTCTCTGGGAAGTTCCCTGTGTTCAAATTATCTTGTTCTGTTACTCTCCTTGTGGAGTTCCTGTCCTCTCCAGCTCTTACTATTTCCCACTTCTTAAATAAAATTCCATTCACTCTGCCTGTCAGTTGTCCATCAGGCTCAGCATCTGCTTTGACAGTCTATACTGCAGAGGCTTTCAGAGGCCCTCTGTGGCAGGTTCCGAGGTTGTTTCCTGTTATCCTGGCTTTAGCCCCTTCCCTCATTTAAACTGTAATAAATAATAAATAAATAAAAATTTTTAAAAAGAAAAGAAGTTATCCCCATGGATTCATTGGGCCCTTTTTAATTGACTTAAAAATAAAAATGAAGATATTTGGAGGAAATACCCTGTTTACTGAACTTGTCAACTCTTCTTTCATGTTGTCTTCTACACAATGTACTGTAACATCTACCCACATGGCATTTGTATTGTATTAGTTGTTACTAGTAATGGATAGATGATATAAGCTGTAGGGATGGTTTCTGTAAGTTAAACACTGCATCATTTAACATATGTGACTTGTCATTTCAGTATTTACGAGGGTCCTGGAAACTGGATTTAAAAGAAATACTGAGTATTTAGTGTGTTCAGTCTGCTTTTATGTCACTATGGCAAATACATGAAAGGAAAAACTTAATGAAAGGAACTTTATTTTGACTCACTTTTTCAGAGACTCCAGTCCATAGTCACTATGGTCTATGTTTTGTAACTATGGTGATAGCAGCTAAGAGATAGAGAAGAACAATAAGGAACCCCCAGGACAAAATATCAGTCCTAGAACCATTCTTTTTCCTTTAATTCGGCCCAACCTCCAAATTTTTCCAAATCCCAATTATGCCAACAGGATTAATACACAGATTCTGTGAGGCCTCATGATCCAATCAATTCAGATTGGGTCTACTAACTCAGACCATCAGAACATAAGCTTTTTGTAGAGATACATCAGATTCCAATGACAGAAAGCATACAGTAGAATAGATAGATAGATAGATAGATAGATAGATAGATAGATAGATAGATAGATAGATAGAT